CCCTCTCCCTCCACCCTCTCCTCCTTCGTCTTCTTCTTCTTCTTCCAGAGGCATAATTGTAAGTGGTATTTTTATGCTTCAGCAAGATCCTAAGATGTGCTGAGGAAAATCTGGAACTAAATTTAGAAGTGAGTGCTGTCAGTTGAGGAATAACTCTGCTTAAGAACATGGAGTTAAGCCCACACATTCAGTGGGCCAGTTGCTTTTGAACAAAGGTGACAAGATAATTCAATGGGAGAAAGAATAGTTTTAACAAATGGTTCTGAGGCAACTAGGTATTCACATGAAAAAGAATAAAATGACCTCTATCTCACACTATTCACTCACAAAAATTAATTCAAGATGTATCAATAATTCAATCTAGGCCGAAAGTGGAGAGGCCGGGTGGCACACACCTGAAATTTCAACTATTCAGGAGGCTGAGGCAAGAGGATCATGAGTTCAAAGCCTAACTGGACAGGTGAGCAAGCCCTCCACCGTACAATTTTTAAAACTACAGAATAGGGGTTGCTGGAGATATAACTCAATAGTAGAACACTTGCTTGGCATGCATGAATTATTGGGTTCAGTCCCGAGCACAGCAAAAGAAAACAAACCAAAAAAGAAGAAAAGAAGCCAAAGAAGAAAAATTCTCACAAAAAAATATAGTCCTAAATTTTCATAAACATGGATTTCTTACATATTCAAAAGAACAAGCAAGGACAGGAGTCACTGTCTGCGCACAGTTTGAGATCCAAGGCCAAAGGAGAAAAATGTCACATGAGTAGTTCCGTCCTCAGAGCACGTATGTCTTCGGAAAGCACTTCCAAAAGAAAAAAAGATTTATCTCTCTCCCCCGCCCCAATACTGCCATGGCCCTGTTTCCATCTCCAAGACTTTAGAAACTTCAACGGAAATTCGAAGTGGATGAATGGAGGAACTCACTGCTTTAATTCATACCACAGAATATCTGATTGTTCGTTTTTGCAAATTAGCAAGTGAGCAAACCAATTTAAAGAAATAAGGACAGTGCCATGTGAAGCACTCGCCTCTTATTTATCTTGACAAGGCATGGTTCCATTTTAGTGATTTATGTTAATGTTTTATTGTACACTGGTTATGCCCTGAAGTGCATTTTATAAGACTAATGAAGTCTTACTAATCCCAGACGTCTTCTCCAGGATTCTTTCATTATGTCTTTGCTGAAAACTCTTGTGAGGCAGACCACCAACCACCATGGAATAAGGAAGCTTGTGAATTAGCGACATGAAGATCAGTCGGGTTCTGCACTAGTGAGGGGTCCACAGGCAGTGCCAGTGGGATTCTGTGTTTTCACACAAAATGTTCCAGTGGTCCTCATCACAATGAGAGATGAGCAAACTGCGGTGTTTAGGGTTCATCAAACATCAAAACATTTTTTGTGATGTTTTGGGTTTGCCAAAATCCAAAACACGTTTTGCCCTCAGCATTTTCCCCTTCATTTTCAAACCCCCATGTATTTTAAGGAAAATTTAATCCTTATGTTTCTGACTCATTTACACTTACCACATGAACATGTTGTTTCGTAAGACTTATTTGAAGGCTATGATGCCTTGTAAGTCTTCTTAAGCCCTCTTTCCGTTGTGGCAGGAAGCTATGTGTTGCAAAGACATGTGAATCTGAATCCTCAATGAGTGGACTTGATTTGAAACTCAAGATTTTTTTAAGACACAATGTTAAATTAAGTTAAACTTGGTAGAACCCATCCTTTCCCCCATAATTACTATCCTATACTTTGGTACGTGGCTTTTAACAATGAAATAACTGAGGCTATGAAACACTAATTCTTGAAATGCTTGTGATACATCCAGCAAGCTGGGGTTCCATAGAGAAGGGAAGACCCGAAGTCATTTGCTGTCTGTGGCCAGTTCAGTTGAGTTGAAACTCTAGACCTCCTAGCTTTCATCACAAGCCTCCTCGGAAGCCACTGTCTCTTGAATGTTCAAACTAAACATTGTGTGGTGACCAAAGCCAACACACATGGGGATTCTACCAGACTCGGGTTCCAGTCCCGGGAATACCACTTCTCGGCAGGTATGCAGACTGGTGGGAGATTGCTGCCTGGACAAAAAACCTCTACTACCTTAGGAAAGATTAGAAGGAGAAACCAAAACAGTGATTAATGCATGGGCTTTTAGTTCAGGATTATGACAGCAGATGGGGGAAAGTCGCTTCTTCCGCTATAATAGGACTCCAGATGCATCTGGAACACTGGTAGAGACTGGGCGGTCACAGAGCCAGTTCCAGATTCTTCCTGGCACAGATGTAAATCCTGGGCTTCCTGAGGTGTCTCTAGGCCAGAAATGAATTGGAGTGATTAGTGGTAAAGAACAAGGATTGTAGAATGAACTGAATCTAGGCCTGTGCCATGCCTCCTCTACTCCTTCGTTATTCAATGTTTGGAAAACTCGCTCTATCTCTATTTTTCCAACTACAAATGAAGGCTTACAATACTTAGCTCAAAAGTACTCCCTGCGTTAAAGGCACAGGGTCCTAGCTGTGTTTGTTGCTCTCAGCGTTGCTATTGTGCTCATTGTCAGACTAGCTGCTAAAGGATTTTTGTCATCTGCGGCCCTTCTCCCCACTGCTTACAACCCCTTTTCTTATCCCAATATTGGAGCAGGCCTGAATATGCAGGAGTTGTTGTTTTCATTTTTTCATCACTGTCGAATCCCTTTGGGGTGTTAAGTAAGAATAGCCTTTCTCTTTCCTTTGCTCATATGATCCATCCTGAGCGAAGACAGTAAGATAATCTTCCATCTAACTTCCAGGCAGTAGTCATCAGGACCAGCCCTTCTCAGGTGCAACAGGTTGAATTTAAAGAGATCTGCCCCTCCTTTGAGATTGTTGTCTACTTTCTTTCATTTCAGTAGAGTTCCTCTCTCTAGTCCCTCCTCTACATTTAAGGATGGGCTTCTGTCTGCGCTCGTGCCTTTCCATTCAGTTTGCAACTGTCCTTCGTGAGGTGCTTTCTCATTTCTTACTCATTCAAGAACCATCATCACTAAACTCATGATCTTGGTCTCAAAACCATAAAATCAAACCCTTTCTCCTCCACAGGTCAGCAAAAGCCTCTGCTGTCTTCCACACTCAAGCCAAAATTCTTCGGTTGTCTTGAGTATGGCTTTTTATCATCCCTCCCATCTAGTCACTGCTGACTGTACCTGTACGACAAATGTATTTCTACATCCTTTTCTAACTTCAAGCAAATTCATTATTAGCTAATGTCTCTGCATGGCTGAAACTGCTTCCAATTGCGGATCCCTCCCCTCTTGTCTCTCCCCTTCTTCCTCTCCTACAATGCCTTCTTCAATGTTTTCCAAGATCCCACAAGGGTCACCTATCTACCTTGTTCCATTCTCCCTGTAGCTCACCATGTGCCAGACACACTGACGTTTCAGTTTTTCAAATCTGTGATCTCTTTCCTTCATGGGAGTCTCTCCTCTGCCCACAGTAAAGCTCTCTCCTCTCTTTTCTTCTTGTCAGAACAGGAACCTCCTGCCCTCTGAGAAGCCCTTTCCCAACTTTCTTCCCGGACTTCTTTCAACACCACAAGCACCACCGAACAATTTCAGAGGTGACTGTTTCATAGCTCCCAGTTGTGTCATAAGCTGAACTCTAGGAGGCCTGTCACTGCCTTGTTCCCCGTTTCATCTCCAGTGGTGAGAAGAAGGCCTCTCCTGGCTTGTTCTTACTAAAAAGGTATTGAATGAATTAACTCCGCCTAACCCTGTGCCCTGTTGTCCCTAACATCTCGTGTATGATTTTAACGTTCTTCAGTTCTCGAAGTCATTGTAGTCAAGGAACTTGATCTGGTTCAGGGTTAGATTGCAAATTCTACGTGGCAAATGCCACATTTTCTATTTCTCTTGTTTCTTCCACAGTGTTGCCATTCCTGATATTAGGAAATCACATTTATGGGTATTTGTAGGCCTTCTGACACCTCCTACTCTTCCTAAACAGCTCTCTGATTGTCTGTGTGATTCATCCTTTCCACCATATCAACTTTATAATAGAAGTATGATTTACATTCAACTGAGGGTCAATAGGCAACCAGTGTTAAAGTTCACTGACTGTCTTGTTAAACAAATTATTAGCATAATGTTAAATAACTTCATGCCTTTTGTAAATTACATTATTTCTAAAGTGTGACCCAATAACATGAGGGAGAGGGAAAGAGCTCTAGAAATCAAAGGAATTTTTTATTTTTTATTTTTTGGTACCGAGGATCGAACTCAGGTCCTTGTGCTTGCAAGGCAGGTGGTGGAACCACTGAGCTAAATCTCTGGCCCCGAAATCAAAGAAATTTAAAACTTATTCTTTAAACACACTCTTTAAACTACCAGGTAAGTCAATAAACTCATTTTAAGAATAATCATTTTTTAAAACTTTATTTAAAAGTGATTTCAAACTTACAGCAAATTTGGGAGAATATTATGCAGACATTCCATATATATTTTCACCCAGAGTCCCCAATTATAACATTTTAAATTCTCATTCTCATTTATCACTCTCATAATTTCTCTTAGTATATATATTTCAGAATTTCAAAGTATTTATAGACAAGATACTTATTAATTATTTTATATTTTCCATAGAAACTTTCTTGCATGTGTAGAGCAAAACAAGTAGAATCAGGAAATTAATATAATACCACAGTGTTATTTATGGCAGGGATTCCAAACAAATAGTCCCTCTGATATCCTTTTAAGCCCAGGGTTAAGTCCAGAATTGGCAGTGTATTTCTTGGTCACATCTCTCTGGTCTCCTTTAATGTGAAGAGCATCTATCTTTTTTTTCTCTTTTGTGATTTTAATATTTTTGTGGACTATACCACAGTTATTTTGTCAAATGACACCTTTTCTGTGTTTGCCTAATGTTTCTTCATGACTAGAGTTGTACCAACCGGTTTTAACAAGAGTAACACAGAAATAATTTTTTTTTAAATGACAGAGGAAACATTTTGTCAACTGTCCCATTAAAAATAAATTTAACTTTTTCACCTTAGCCTTTACCAGATTTTTCCACTTTAAAATTATCTGTTAGATTTATTAGATTTAGAACACTATTGTAAGTTACAGTTTTACTAAATAGCTTAGGAGACTATGTTAATACCTTATTCCTCACCAAATTTTATCCTCTCGGTTAGAATCTGTTGATGATTTTTGCCTTGATCAATTATTGTTGTTATTTCCAACTGGTGATATTCTAACGTTATTATACCTTTTAAATTTCTTAATGATAGAGATTTTCTTTTGTATTCATTCATTCATTCATGCCTATCACTCCTTTCTTCGATTCCCAGGACTTCTTAAATGTGTAGCTAGTAAGAGTTCCTGAAAAATAACCCTTCTGTCCTTTTCGCTTGTCCACTTCATTCTTTGTGTGCTTTTAAAAGTTTTCAGTGAACAAAATATTAGGATCTTGTGCTTTTCCTGCTCCAGTCTTGAAATCACCCATCTCTCTAAGGAGCTGTTTCTCTTTAGTAAAGGATGATATTTAGAAGTCAAGACATTGGTGCTAGGGGTGCTCATTGGCACTGGAGTATCATTGCTCCTACTCCTCAGCAATCCCCCCCCTCTGTGATTTTATATTTGTTTCAATATGTATTGCTGTATAAATCTCAAAAATCCATGAGCTCATACATGCATGCTTTTAGTATTCTTTCTTTCCATATTGGTTAGTCCTTTCTGTGACAGAGAGAAATTTTCATTCCTCTCAATATATTTATTGTACTTACATGCTTGATCCTTCTCTATGTAATCTATTTACTATCCACATTGACCACCTCTTTGGATGGTAATTCTTGGCCCTGGTCCTATCAGCTCTAAAAATATTCCTGGCCTACAGAGCTTCTCCATTTATTTGGAAAAAAATCATGTATTCTTTGTCTACAAACTTGAAAATAAAGCAGATTTTTGAGTCATAAAAATTATGTTTGGGATCATTTTATAAGGAGAAACAATTTCTTAGACTCAATAGTATCAAATGCTTTAATTCAGAAATATACACTTCATTGGCTGTTGATCTTTGAAATACAATGCTAACAGAAATTTTGAAAAAGACTAAAGCTTTTAAGGACTAAACCAACAAGGTGTTATTGGAGTCCAGAATAGAAGAACTCAACCAAGCCTTGGTGGGTCACAGAAAATTTCCTGGAGGTAATGCTTGGTTTATTTTCATGACTTGTGTATTTGGCAGGGTTCCCAAGAAAAATAGAACAAGTACAATGTGTAAATGTGAGAGTGAGCATGTATATGTATCAATCAATCAATATAAATCCATATGTGTATCTAAGTAACCAAGACCGATAGTCCACAAGCTAGAGGACAAAGTAGATCCATGTTGTAAGTTCCAAATCAAAGGTCAACACGCTCAAGACACAAGGCGAGCTGACATTCCAGTGTGTGGACAGGACCGGCAAGCAGTCCGGCAAGAGGAGTTCCTCATTACCTGAGGGCGAGCATGCTATTTTGTTCTATTTGGACCTTCAACTGATTGGGTGAGGGCAATTTCTTTACTTAGTCTACAGATTCAAGAATTACGCTCTCTCCAAGATATACACACAAACACACTCAGAATGATGTTTCACCAAATACCTAGGTATTCCTTGGTTCAGTGAAGTTGTCAGACAAAATTAACCATCATATCTTGGCTCTCCTAAATCCTTCTGCTTTAGATGCTAAGATTCTTTAAAGATGTGATGGAGTCTTCCTTCAGACTCGAGGCATTCATCATTATTATATACTTAACCACATAAGCGCTAGCAGGGATTTCCTCAGCCTGTAGTTCCATGACTACAGAAGTAGTATGTTACTTGTTTTCTTCCAGAGTCTCAGGTCCAGGTACGGTGCCTGACCCAGAGGAGGCATTTGATAAACATTTCTTGAATTGATTATATTCTAGTTCTTTGTCATTGTGACCTTTAAACAATTATTTTCCAGGTCTGCCTCGACGCTGCACTGTGTCCCAAGTATAAATGATGACAGTCCTCCTCCCATCTGTTTTCCACCAAGCAGGGGGACCATGACTAAAATTTTTCTCAAGCTTTGGGTTTAGTAAAAATCCATTCTGAGTCTAACAACCAAAATTCAGGATCAGTTGCTCATTCTTTCACACTCAACAGTGGTTTCAGCAGCATGCACCCCAGCTTGTCATTGTCTACCCACACTCTCCTCGGCAAGGAGACCCTTCCCAGCTAAAGAGCAGCACAAGTAGGTGACTGAAGCTGCCTGAATTTAACAGTTCAGCTTTGCATCTCCAGATAAATTCTAACATGACATGAAATAGAGGAAAAACGAAAACAAAGGTTAACTCCTAATGCACTGCTGGTACAACCTGAGGCTTCTCCTTCCTAAAAAAGTATAATAATGGGTATTCTGCATTTAAATTTAATATATGAAAATTTTTGTTTTTGTACTATATTTAAAACACACACTTCTACTGAGAGATAAAATTCTAGTAATTCCCTCATTTACCTTCATACTGAAAAAAAGAAAAATTAGGGGCTAGGGATTTAGCTCAGTGGTTCCACCACCTGCCTCACAAGCACAAGGTCCTGAGTTCAATCCCTGGTAGCCCCCCACCACAAAAAACTATGAGAGAGATCACTATGGAAAAGTTATCTCACCTGTAAAATGTCATACCTACAAATGTAGTTATTATTTTACTCTCTTTAAGTATTGAGGAATTCCCTCATATCTGGGTTTCAATTACTAACAATCATGGCCTGAAAATACTACATAGAAACTTCCAGAAATAAGCAATTCAGGAGGTTTAAAGGCACATCAATTTGAGTAGCATGATAAAACTGAGCCATTTTAGAAGGGGTGATCAAAAAATACTGTGAATGCTGCTGTTGAGTGCCATCCAATGGAAACACGTGCTAGTAAAAATATTCTGGTGCGGCATCATCTCCCTTATTCATTGGATGGAGTACCATGCAACTTCCCAGTCCTCGGTCACAATGACCATGAAAGGTAAATGTTTTGCATCAATTCTGAACATCCAGGCAGCCATGACAGCCCCACTCAATACATACAAGAAAGAGAACTTCCAGAACCGTTTCAGCAAGTAACAGGAACGATGGGATAAGTGTATTTAACGTGAAGGGGGTGTTCTGAGGGGAATTAGTGCCAATGTCCCTTTTACTATAATAATTTTTTCATTTAAACGTTCACTATATTTTTAAACATACCACATAGTTTAATACTACATTCATACAACTTGTATTATACTGTTAATTTTTCTATTTTGTCATTATTGTTGTTAGTCACTTATTGTGCCTAACATATAAACTTTATCATAGGCATATTTAACATATATATTAATCATATGTATATATATATATATTATATATATATATGTATGTATATGTATATATATGATTGCTTCTTCTTTTCAGATGGGTACCCTGAAAAGTTAATTTCTTAGCCCAAGCATGTACAGGCAATAAAATTTTCAAGTTAGAGCTTTAGGCCTTGGGAACTAAAGGTGTTCCAATATGAAGTCCCACTCAAAAGTTACAGAAAAGGTGGTGTGATATTCAAACTTAAGAACCCTTGGTGGTTTATTTCCACCAGGGCATCAGAGACAGCAGCCTGCTCTCACCATCTGGGTGTAATAAATGAAGAATTTGAGTCATAAAAATTTCTACCCAATTTAGGATGCACAATATTGCTTTTCTCAAACTAACTGCTGCTGGCAGTTCTAGTTAATACTTCCGTTCAAAAATTTTTTAAAAAATTTTAAAGCCTTTTAAACTGACATTCAGAATAATGTGGAAAGCAATACTAAGACAATCTCTTTTACATCAAACTTCCTGTGAGATATGATTGTGTAAGTACACTCTTCCTTCGTTTTTCCTCCTTAAAGAGAGATCTGAAGAGAAGCAACCGGAGGGAAGAATTAGACCTCCTGGAGAAGAAGCGAGGGAGACAATGCGCATATACGATTTCTGCAAGGGAGAGGATTTAACTAACAGCAGATATACAAAAAGCAAAGAGGCTTTTTCCCAGTCACAGCGAACTGAATGGAGAGCAAACTGATTTTTTTGAAAACTGTTATTTTGAAGTTTTAATCTTCATCAAGCAATGTCCTATGACTTACTGGATATTCCTTCCGTGTCCCTCATGAGAAAATAGTTTCTACCTAGCACAAATATTTCATCCACTTCAGACACTATAAGACACTGGTGTGAGCCAATGGTAGAAACTTTGGAAGTGACAAAAATATTTTCCCCAAATTGACCATGAATTGCCTTTGATTCACATAGATTTATTTATTTGTTGGGTTTTATAGGTACGCTCGGCTAGCTCAGTTGGTAGAGCATGAGACTCTTATTTATTGGATTTTTGGGATAAGGTCTTGCTGTGTAGTTCAAGCTGGCCTTGAACTCACTAGGTAGCCCCGGCTGGCCTCGAAAATTCGATGATTTTTCTACCTCAACTTCACAAGTGCTGGGATTATAGGTGTGCACCTCCACACCTGGCTCATATAGGTTCATTCGAAGGAAGAGAGAGCAGGATGATAAAGAAAAAAAAGTCTTCTATCTCTTCTTGATAAAAATGTAATTTCTAATGCAGTTTCCAAAGGAAAACAACATTTTAGATTTTCTAAACTTAAAAACAACATGGGAAATTGAAAAGTTCAAAAAATACCTTTAAAAAACTGACTACAGAAGAATGGAAAACTTATGTACATCAAAAAAGAAATGATTTGACAAAGGGTTACCATTCATACTGTGTAAAGAGTGCATGTGGATTGAAAGTAACAACCAAAACAAACTGGGTAAAGGATCCACACAGACTATTGCAGAGAAATACAAACCCCCCAAAACAGGGAAAAGGTTTATAATACACAGTGTAGGGAACATAGTTAATGATATTGCACTGTATATTTGAAATCTGTTAAGTAGATTTTATTTTGGGTTTTTTTTTGTTTGTTTGTTTGTTTTTGGTACTGGGGATGGAACTTGGGTTCTTACGTTTATGAGGCAGGTGGTGGAACCATTGAGCTAAATCCCCATCCCTGTTAAGAAAGAAGACTTTGAATGTTCTAACCATAAAAAATGGTAACAAGGAAGATAACTGATATGTTAATTTGCTTGTTGTAATTATTGTACAATATATTCATATATCAAAATATCACATTTTATATCTTAAATATATACAATGCTTATTTTTCAATCATGTTTTGATGAAACATGGAGAAAAAAATTCAGCAGATTTTGGGTTCTGAAGAGTGTCCTGAAAACAATCTCCCACAAATATTGAAGTCAAAATATTCTAATTTCAGTGATATAGAAATTCTCAAACATTATTAGCAAGGACATAAATGTTGAACTTTTCTGAAATCCTTTTAATAAGCATTAAGAGTCTTGTAAACATCCATAGTTTTTAAGCCAGTACATACATTTTTGGCATCTGGTCTAAGAAAATAAACAATCTTATAAAATTTCATGTAGAAAAATAATTACTGTAGTTTTTCTATAACAGTGAAAACCTGTAACTAATATAAATTATAACAAGAAATAAGCAAAGGATTTCATATGATGGGATATGATGCAATCATGAGAAACAATGTTTGTAAGAATAATTGATAAAATAAAAAATGTCAACCGAGGGACTTAAGTGAAAAAGTCGGATACAGAACTGCATATACAGCACGACCACAGAAAAAAATGACAGGAAGGAAATGCAGCAGATACCAACAGGGGATAAAGTAGAACTATATTTCCTTCTTGGCACTTGTATATTTTCTAAATATTGTCTGATGAACTTATTTTAAAATTAAAACAAAACTGTGCTTATGGCGTGAAAAACTCATTGTGGATACATTTTGCCAACAGTTCACTGAGACGTAAACTCAGCTTCAGAAGGAAGTCATTAAGTACAGATATATATAAAACCTATTTTTTAAAATTTAAACTCTACCTTCTAAGTATTCCAACTCAAAGAAATCTCACTTCAAAATTTATAGTTCGTTCACACGCACCTTCTTAAAAGCCAGCAAATGCTGAGTTCCTGTCCTAAGAAGTTTAGATGTTAAGTATGTTGGCCTTGATTTCCTTGATCCTGCAAAATAAAGACTAAAAAACAAATTAATTGAACTGGCCTTCATAGAAATCCATTTATTACGTATGGAATCCTTTAGGATAAATGCAGTTCAAGGGTAGGAAGTGAAGCATCACGGGACGAAAGACTCTTCTTTTGCATTCTTCTCAAATAGAAAAGTGATTTCTAAACTTGGCTTTGGAAGGGAGTTGGTAAGTGCAAAGCACGGTCATCACGTTTTATGATTTGGATCTAAAATATCCCGACATTCCCATGTGCTCAGATCGAGGCTTTGGGAAGGTGATTAGGTCATAAATGAACTGGTCTGGTTGGTGGATTCATCCAATGATGAGTTTGCACCTGAATGTGTTAAGAGGGGGCCTTGTTCGGAAGCGGTGGGTTCCTGGCTAAGGGGGTTTGGAAGGGTCTCACTTGCTGGAGTTTCCTCTGCTGTACCCCTTTCCTATGGTGCTGGTGCCATGGAGCCAGTAATGTGAACTCAAATCTTGCCTACCTTAGGTCAAAATGAACTTCAGGTCCTCTAAGTTGCTGCTTGCGTATTTTGTTTCATTCACAAAAGCAGGATGATCTGGTGGTGAAACAGTGCCCAGCTCATGACATCTAAAGTGATACAATCTTCTGGAGCAGAGAGAGCATCACCATATCCATTTTATCGTATCCAGGTGAACTGTGGAAGAGTTAAGGTTCATGATGACTCAACTTGGGATTTTTGCCAAATGATTGAGATTAGATCTCTAAAGGGACAGGAAGAGTTGCTGATCTTTACTGACTAGGATGACTTAAGACCTCCATGTTAGAGTTCAGTCAAAGCCAGTCCTTCCAAGAGTGGCCAGCACCAAAGCTGGAAACCTGGACAGCAGAAGGAGTGTCGATATGTTGAATCATTAAATTGCTTCCTACCGCAGATTTCCCTCAGGTATCTGCACTCCAGTATGGAGGGCCAAGTATGGATCCTGTTTCACTTATGTGACATCTATATGAATAATCAGAGAAGGGTTTAAGAGAAGCATCAAGAATGTTTTTTCAAACACAAAGGTGCTACAGGTAATAAAAGGTGAACACTAGGTTTCTAGGGTTGGAGTCCTGAAAGCAGCAGCCTCGTACACTGTCCCAGACGTGTGCAGTTTCTAGTGGTACACCTACCATCACGATGCCGAGACTTCAGACGGCTTACTTAGTAGAGAATGTTGTTTGAAGTTGTTTGCTAGTGAAAACTCTAGCAGCACCTCCAACTGAGGCAGGGCAGAAGAAATAAATGATAGGTAGAAAGAAGACAAGGAAATTATAACTAAAAATTGGATTTTTAGAAAGACTGCCACTTTCTGCAACCCAGGCAAAGTCATTCTTGGATAAATTTAGGCTCCTTTCCTTCCAGACCTTCACACTCCCCCGCAAATTCCTCAGAAATACTGAAAGTCCATAAATTGGCTTAATTGAGAAACTAAGAAGCAGGAACCTGATCCTAAGGTAGAGTAACAGGTTGAAAGAATCCAAAGAATGTTTAAATTATCTATCTAAAAACAGGAAAAAAAACTGTGCTCATACCTGTAAAATGGGCCAGTACCCTCCGGGGGGGGGTCACCTTTTTCACAATTTCCACCCCTTCGAGAGAAGTACAAATGTTCCCTATTCCAGGAAACAATGTACCTTTCTCGCTTGAGGGTCCCACTCTATATTTCTTTTAGCATGTGCTAAAACTTTGGCCTAATAAACACTTCTGAGCCTCTTACTGATGTGACCTGAAAATATTTTTCTGCGACAGGAGCCAGCAAAATTGCAATCCTTTTCCATCAGCGGAGCAGATTTGGTTCTTCATCATGGCTCCGATAATCTCTTTGGACCCTGGTCCGGTGACACAATGACATAACTTTTATGACATTTTTTGGACTGATCTTGCCTGACCGCTCAGTTCCAAGTGTGCAAATGACTGCCACTCAGCACTTGGTGGGCCCACCATGTAAGTTAAATTCCCTGATTCCTGTTTTTCCCTCATAGCCCTGTTCTAATATAAGAATCTACTCTCCTCCAAAACTCTTCCTAGGCCCATTCTCCACTTTTAAACACCACTACCACCCCCTCTCGTTATTTTGAGCATCTTCTACATAAGATTATTGCATCGCTGAGCAATATTTTGGAGGCCTCTTCTGCTTCAGGCCTTTACTGCACTGATACAAATCCAACTCAGACTTCATCTTCCTGGCAGGGAGAATCTGAAGGCTATCGGTCAGCGTGACTGTCTTCTCAGATTGTGTTATTTCTCCCACTTATAGAGCATGGGGAGCTACTTCTTTACCCGCTAAAGTGCGTCTCTCCCATTTTATAATTTTCTTCAAAAAGTTTTGAGAGATGCACCCTGGCTCAGGATTTAGAAAACCTGCATTCTAGTACTGACTGAAGGAAACCGCTTGATTTTTGTCTCACATCCAAATGGGGAATAAGATCCTTATCCCAGTCATCTCATCGTAAAAAGGGTCGGGGTCTTTAGTATAACTGAATGTATATACAAACGTCGAGTTATGTAAATAGTAATATAAATGCATGAGGGAAATTCAAATAATTTCAAAACTATGAATTAAAGCATAACACAGAGTCAATCCGACAGTCTATGATTCAGACAAAAAAGCTTAGCAAAATTTACTGCAAATAGCCCAATCAGTCATATTTAAATTAAAAGTGTACTTTAGTGTTACTCAAAACAGAATATTGCCCTAAAGAGATAAGCACTATAATAGGTCTTTGAAGTCCAAACTGGTTTTGCTACCTTTCTGCCTAGTTCTGGCCTCTTCAAAGTCATCAAAGCAGTGATCTTAAAGTGTGAATGTCTTACAAGTAGCTTCTAATGGATTCGCCCTTCACTCTCTTGGCACTAATCAGAGGTAACCCAGCTTTTACATTCCTAATGATGCCTCTTTCAAAGAGCATTAAAGCTAATATTGGTTTTAAATGGTCCTAACTGCAGCTCCACTCTTGACCTGGGCTGTTCTACCCAACACACATCCCCATGCCACAGCAATCCCAGGGTTAGGATGTCCCTAGGGCATCTACCCAGTAGGCTTTTTTCAGGACCACTTCCCTTCCTTTCCCTCCAATCACCCACAAACTGCTCCCTAAATGGTTGATTCCCTTCCTAGAAGAAGAATCCAAAGTCTTTAAAAAGACTCACTAATGCTTAAAGAGTGATTTTTAAATGTAATCCACAATAAAATTAAAAAACAAGCAAACCTCAGGAAAACTGTTAAAAATGAAGATCTCTAAGCCCCATACCCTGACTGTCTCAATGCAGTTGGTTGGAGTGAGGCTGGGAATTTCAGCTGCAGGTGATCTGCACATGGAGAAACACTGTCCTACAGAGTAATGTCCACCCCAGACCACACTAACTCTAAGGTTCATCAGCTCCCAGCCTCCATTCTTAATGTGCACACACATATACTCTAGCCATGCTAAGGTCCAAGCTTTAAACACTTCTGTTCTCTCAGCCTTGAATCTTTCTCCATCCTCCTGCCATGTGAAATGTGCATGTTTTTAAGATTCTCCCCCATTACCTGAGCTCCCCTTTAGAATTCCCTCAAGTTTCTGGAGCAACTAGCTTATGTGTCACTTGTCCCTTGTTCAACTGTTTCTTGCATTACACTTATCATTTAGCCTATCAAATTTCATTATTAAACTGTGAAATATTCAAAGCTATAAATTACATGTGATTTATCTTTTAATCCAGCAGAAAGCTGTGCCTGTAGTAGATGTTATATAAATGTGTGCAAAAGTGAACTTACTTTAATTATATCCACTAAATGCATTTAATACAAGTTAGGTAAGCATCTCTCTTGTCTTCCCTTAGATTCAAACTGATATCCAGGAGATTAAAAAACTCTATTGAAAGTATATGTAGCAGAATGACCCAATCTGAAGACAGAATATCAGATATAGAAGACAGGATGGTAGTCAGGGACTATGAAAAGAGAGATCTTTTTAAATTAGTAAGAGACCATGAGAAATCAATCCAACAGCTCCTAGATGATGCAAAGAAGAATAATATAGGACTGATAGGAGTCCATGAAAAATCAGGAGAAAGCACAAATGACATAAAAAACTGTTCACAGAACTAATGATAGAAAACTTCCCAAACAGAGCAAAAGATATTGACATACAGATACATATGAGGCATATAGGACTCCAACTAGTTATGATTAAAAAAAACTACACTTAGACATATAATAGTCAAGATCCTGGAAAACCAACAGAAGCACAAAATACTACAAGCAGTTAGAGAAAAGAAACAAATTACATGCAAAGGAAAGCCCATCAGACTTTTCAACACAAATCCCCAAGTCAAAGAGAGCCTGGAGTGATGTATTTCAAGCTTTAAAAGAAAACAACCTCCAACTTAGGCTGATGTATCCTGCAAAGCAATCTTTCAAAACTGATGGAGAAATAAGATACTTTCATGACAAAAAATACCTAAGAAACTTCATGAACACCAAACCAGCACTCCAAACAATTTTTTTAACTATCCCAGAAAAAGACAATGCAGGTCACAACTCACAATGAGGCTCAATAGGCAAGAAATTAAAGGTAAAGAGCATCTCTGATCTATATGTTATACACAGCCTAATTATCTAGAAATCATGTAGCTATTGCATACCTTGTTTTGGTAACTTTGGGCTCCAGAATCCTATCTATAAAAGATAAGATATAAGCATCTAATATAAAAATAATATTACTTTTAATGAGGAACCTTATAAACAGAACAAAACATTAACCTAAAAATAGATAGCACCGTATACTACTAAGGAAGTGGAGAACTGGGCACCCTCAGATCTAGTGAGAATACAAACCACAACATATATGCATCACAATCTGATAGCTTTTATTAAAATATAAAGTGTACAGACTAAACTCCACTATTTTACATTCTTTCCTTGAGAAAGTCACACACAAACATACAGTAAAATGCACAAAAATATTCGTTATAGCATTGAATGCAATAGCAAAAGTTCTATCAATAAAAGAATGGGCAAATAAATATTAGTATCTTCAGTCCATAGGATAATTGCAGCAATTAATTATAAGACACATACTGATAGGAAAGGACCTTTAGTATATTTTTTAGTTCAAAACAAAGGTGCAGAACCTATATTGAGGAATACTATTTACTTGTTAAAAAATTGTGCCCTTGAAAGTTGATAATATTTATATTTAACTGCAATTGAAAATGTAAACCCATGTATAAAAAAGAAGGAGAGATTATGACACAGACTGAAGTTTTGCATTGCCCCTCCTAAGGGGTAACTGAAATTGGCATAGTAAACGTGGAAGAAAGAGAGATGGGCTTTCCCTTAATTTCTATTGTCTGAGCATATTTTACATGAATTTGTATTCAAACATTACTTATGTCATAGAAATACTTTATATAAATGGCATACTACAAGATGACAAATACATTCTACTGCATATTGTGCATATGGTTAGCTTACTATGTAGAAACTATATAGTTAACATGATTATAAAGGTATAAAAGAAATGCCTTACTCTATTCCTCACCCTATCTTTAAAAAGTAGATGGAGATTTGTTTTTAAAATATAAAGTTGAAGTACAAACTTTCTATTCCCATCACCTTCTATTGATTTCCCAAGATATGGGTAGTATGGAAATAGGTTAGAGCTGCAGTTTCCAAAGAACACGCAGAGTTGCTGAGACTAATTGCCAATCCTTTTTTCAAAAGACTAACACAAACTCTTAAGCTCTTGAAAACAGAATCTTCCTTCAACCCGGATGCGCTTGTTTTCTTCTTGTTTCTCAGGTTCTTTTCTCAGTGTTCCTATGCCCACTTGCTTACACTCAGCCTGTGTGGTCACACTCCTATCCAAAGACTAGTAACAAATACTAGAAGTCCTGACATTTTGCATCTACATACTCACTGCTTTTTCACTAGCCATGAAGACTATACAGCCCTGCAGCTCCTCCTGACCCTAGGAAGAGCCAAAGGTGCTTCTTCTGAAGGCTGTGATGTCTGTATGTAGTGAGGAAGAGAATATTTTAAACTCCCTGTAGCTGGTGAAGTCATCATGATCAGGGGCTCAAACTAAAATCATGAATTTTGTTTTCTCTTTGCTTCTACCTTCCAAGAGAAACACAGAGACCAAGATATCCCATTTTTGTGAATCCTTGGACTTACACAATTTTAGAAAGTTCTTTTTAGAAAAAAAAAATAGAAACTTACAAGTAAAAATTGCTGGGATCCCTCCCAGGTACTTGGAAGGACATGCAAGTACTGTACAGGGTCCTGAAACTTAGCCTTCAATAACTTCTTGGAAAGTCCCCTCTGAGCATGAATAATATCAATAAATGTATGCTGAAGCAGAGAGTAGGTGGGCAGCTTCATCATTTCACATTCACTTTCAGGTGAGTCTCACAAGCCTTCAAGGTCTCTACGTAGTAAAGGACCTATGATGATGGTGAATAGGATGGTACTATTCAGGTTCTATGAGCACACATCCTTCCCTGGCTTATTTTAGAAACTTTCATTCTATAGGTGAGGGATCCCCAAGCCTAGGCCACGGACCAGTACAAGTGCCAGCAGAGCAGGAGGTGAGCATTGGGCCAGTGAGAAAAGCTTCATCTGTGTTTACAGCCACCATGGCTCCCCACTCACCTCCTCTCAGAGTAGTAGCACTGGATTCCAATGGGAGCCTCGACCCTCCTACGAATTGTGCAAGCCAGGGGTCTAGGTTGCAGCTCCTTATGAGAATCTAATGTCTGATGATCTGAGGTGGAGCTGAGGTAGTGATGCTAGCTCTTGGGAATGTAATTATTATGAATTTTTTAAAATGTACTAATAAAACAAAAGAAGCTAAAAACAAACGCTCACCCTCAATCTGTGGAAAACTTTTCTTCAACAAAACCAGTCACAGGTGCCAAAAAGGCTGGGGATCAATGCTGCAGGTCATGGACAACAGAAACAAAATCCTTTTATGATACTAAAAGTGTAGTAGGCTAAATATTTATGCCACCCCCCCACACACACATACACCAAATCCCTATGTTGAAATCTTAACCCCAAGATGATGACATGAAAAAGTGGGGCCTTTGGTAACAACCAGGTCATTAGGGTACAGTACTCATGAATAGGACTAGTACCCTTATAAAGAGCTCCAGAGAACTGATTTGCCTCCTAAATGGAAGGAGATAGTTGTTGCTCAGACAGTGAGGCTTCACCAGACACCAAACATGCCAATGCCCTAATTTGGGGCTTCCCAGCCTTCAGAACTGTGAGAAATAAATTTCTGTTGCTTATAAACAATCAAGTATATGGTATTTAATTATAGCAGCTTCAGACAGAGAGAGTAAGAGTAAAGAGAGAAGGGGAGGAAGGAAGGATAGAGAAAGAGAGAGAAATAAAAAAGAAAGATAAAGAAAAATGTAAAAACCCAGTGACTTTCAAGGACCCATAAAATTCAATGGTACAGGCAGTTTCTACTTTATCACATTATTTCAGACAAATGCCATTTTATTTATAAAATTATCAGTACAAATTGGATGTACATTTTAGTTGACAAGATGTTTAATTGGTAGATGGCCTATAGAAATGGACATTTCTCTCTCACGCTGATATGTAGCTAGTGAAGCATTCCCAGAATGTCACATGCTCAGAAGTCATACAGTGGTCCTCTGAAAATGTATGGGCAACAGAAACCACACTTTTGGATTTGGATTAAGGGTGGCTACTTGTGCAGGAGAGTATTTTGTTGTGACAAAGTGGATCTTGAGTCTAAAGCTTATCCTACAGCAATAGGGGTGAGTCAGAGTACACCATTCACTGAAGACCTCTGAAAGAAGCTGTGAGAGTCTAAAAAATAAAAAATAAAACTTAACAGCAGACCTCATTTTTAATAGTAGGTGGAATCTTCTAGGCAATTTTTAAATTTATTTTTATAAATATTCTAGTAAAGAACAGAGAACAAAATAAGACATATGGGACTGTTGATGTAGCTCAGGGTGCTGCACCTACCTGGCAAGTACAAGGTCCTCAGTTCTATCCCTGATACAGGAAAAAAAAAAAGACTTATGAAATCTACAGTAATCTTACTCTATTTTATCTTGTCAGCCAAAGATACATTTCTCAACATCGCACTGTCTTCACCAAACAGCTTTTCTCCCTCAGCCTCTAGCAGTCACCCTTACCATCCTTGCCAAGGTGAGAGCTGTGATTTATAGGAGCTACCACTCTGGCTGATGCTCCTCCCAGCACTTCCCAGACAAGAGACAGATGACAACCCACCAAGGCAGGTGTCAGCAGCAGAAGCTTGAGCCAGCAGCACAACCCATGTAACGGGAAATGTGCCTCTCTCTCTCTCCTTCCGTCTTTCCTTAAAGTAAGCTTCAGTAGAAGCTCCAGGAGTCCCCTCTGAAACTAAGGACACAGAAAAAACGCACTTGCTGATTTCTGACCTTCTCTGTTGAATGGCAGTGTCTCTATAAATCCTCAGGTTCAGTCTCACTGGCCCACAATGCCATTTACCCACCATAATCCAACACCACCACCGGAGAGCAGGTGAAATAATGGATTGGCTTTAGGGTCAGCTCACTTTAGGCTCAGGGTGGGATGACATGATGTTCACTTCACAGACGAGCTTGGAATAGAAGTCACTTTCCAAGAAAATCTTGGTGTTGTCAGCTGGAAAGGAGGAGAATAGAGGATGAGGGAGAGACATCAGTGCCCCCACTCTACTTGGGAGGATTATTCTCATATACAAGAGAATCTAAAACGTTGGTGAACATCTATTCACCTGCATTCAGTGAAAAATAATCATCAACAGAACTCTTGCCCTCCTATTGCCTCTCTGCTCCCTGAAAAAGAGGACCCGATTCTACTCATTGTCTACAACGTAGAAAATCCTACTAAGAAACAAAGTATTTAATTCCTTTGTGTAAGGGCTTTTCTCCTCTGTGTAAAAACCCTAATGAGCTGACCATAGGATTCAAAATACTCCCCTAACGACTGAATCTATACAAGAAGAAAACAGGCACCAAATGATGATCCAAACCATAGAGCTCTAACGTTCTTCCCATTTTTAGAGAGGTTTCTGAGTGAGACTGCTCGTACCCAGGCATTCCTTCACTATATTTAATTTTTCATATACAAGTACTTTTTACCTCTTCATCAAGAATGTATCGAATTGACAATAAGTTGATTATACTTGGACTCATTTACATGTTGTAAAATAGAGAAATATGTTAAATCTTAATACCTGTGAGTTCAAGATGGCTACATTTATTGCCAATAACATCCCTCAGACTAAAATAGAATGGTGAGCCAAGTGTGCTGATAAGCCAGGTCTGAGTCTTAATTTCTATCAACCTTAGAAAAAAATATTTACACTTCAAGAAGCAACAAAAATGGAAAATAATTTTTTCTTATATATTGACAGAAAGCTAATTTGGAATGTGCTTTGGGGTGGTGGTCAGCTTACCAATCAATTTGCCATTCGATTTGCATTTAAATGGTAGAAAACATACTGAGCTGGGGGAAAAGAAATTTGAGTTGTAGTCCGAGTTCTGTTCATAACCAGCTGCATGACTGTGGGCAAGTCCCTTTACAGCTCTGTTTTGCCTTCCTCATGTGCACAATGAACAGGCTCACAAATATTATTTTTTACAGCTTCCCAACCTTGAACCTCTCAGAATTCTGTGAAATCAGCATAATAAGTAGGCAGCTCAATTTACCTATACCTGCAGAATGGAACATTACTTGTTCAAGTCCCCTCCTGGAAATTGATATCAGGTGATGGGAATAGAAAGTTTGTAGGATAATTCTGGGTCTTACAAACAAATTTCTACGTACCTCTCTAATTTGCTATTACCTTAAGTAAGCAATTCCCTTTACACTTTTATTCAAAAATAACAAGCTGTGTTTGAAACGCCAGTACACACCATTTATTACGCTGTCCAACCCAAACATGAAAATATTTGTACTTATGTTATGATTTCACCTGGTGGCTTTCATTTTCCCCAACATAAAGACAGGGTGAAGCAAAGTAATAGAAAAATAGAAAACATCTTTGTCGGAAAATGAGATCGCAGCTGTGTAACTGGAGCACACAACCATAAATCAGAATGTCAAATCCAAAACACATGACTTTTTGCAAGTTCTCCATGTGCGCTCTAATGTGATTACAGCCTGGTTGCTATTATGATTTAAAACAAAGTCTTTCATGCTAGAAACAAACTGCGGAATGTGAGCCGCCTGGGGGAGAGAGCTGCAAGCAGCTAGCAACACACCCCTTGCTGTCCTCGAGGTGGGCTCCAGTATTTCAAACGCCGGTTTGTCAGGTGTGAGGGAGCAAGAGGATACAAGAAGAACCTGGGCTGAGGTCTTAACATGAGGGACAAATTAGCCAGCGGTGCTCAGCTCAACTTGAGAATCTGAAATTAGCTTCTTTCTCCCTGTTCCCCATCTCTTTTTTTTTCCCCTTCAGAATCCCGAAGCCAAAGACAAAGATTACAGAAGTCATTCTTTCCTGCCTATCACATAAACAAATGGCCCAGCTGTTATTGCTAAGATTCCAGTTTTAAACTTGGACTTTCTTGTATAAACTTCAATGTAATGGTATTTAAAGTGTCATAGGCAATAAGCATCTAATCCTACTCAATAAATTGTAGGCTCGTTGCATGAACTCCTAGAGCTGTTAAAGACAGCTGTGCTTTTTTTGTAATTTAAGTCATTTCCAAATTGGGCAGCTTCCAGGTGTATTTTCAGACAAACAATGTGTGCTAGAAAAAGGGATGTTCTGAATCTTTCAGCAGCGGAATAAACACAAAGGAGGCAAAGCTGAGGTAGAACAGTGAAATGTAGGTTCTGATCACCCCAGGAGAGCAGGTATCAAGGTAGGGGAACTAGGAAACTGCTCTTGTTTACTGGCACTGTTAAGAATGTAAGCCAGGACCCTTACATTTTTGTAGCTGGTTATTGGGTCAATTCCATAGATGGAAGACAACAATTTAACATTTCTTGAAATAGAACCATGGACTTCCAGAGCAAAGATGCAACCTTAAAACAGAAAAGGCTCCTCCATTACTGATGTTTTAAGGGTCAGGAGAAATGATTTCTACCCCCATGGGACCATTGAAACAAATCATCCTGAGCGTCATACGATGAGAGGAATTACAAGAGGTCATTTCATCCCATTTCTTGCTTCCAAGAGGACCCATAATGAAGGTAATTTGAAGTAAATAAATAAAACGAATATGTAAATAATAAAATTACTTTATATCCACATCATTATTAGGCATTGAAAAGATCTTCTTCTGGTGCGGTGCCTGAGAGCTCGGAGTAGGCAGGTGGCAGAGCATCTTTCCACTTCCACCCAAGCTGAGTTTGCACAATGGCTGCTCCCCTGAGTACAAACCCACAGCCAGCATCCCCAGTTCTTCTGAAGCATGGTTGGTGATGGTGGGTGGTTTTGAGGGGGCACTGCAAAGAGTTGGCCTCGCAAGCTGATTCCAAAGCTGAGTGTACCGCTGCTCTAGTTTCGCTCTGTTTTTCAGCAGCAGCAGTTGGTTGGTGCATACCAGAATTTACCCTCTTAATTCTGCACAGTTAGGACACACTGTGTATTATCTTGCAGGCCAAATATCTATGGTGTCTACCTCGCTGTCAAGAATGCAGGGAAAACAGAGAAAAGCCTGGGGGAAACATACATCAAGACTTAGAGCCCGCAGGGAAACTCCCCTGAGTCCTTCTGTGGTGGGTGGAACTTCATCATAGACAAACGAGGCCTGAAAGGCATCAACACCTCTTTTGGCTGCTGGACATAATGCAAGCTCACAGGTGGAAGGAGTTCAAGCCGTGACTCAGGATTACTTTTGGCCCAGGTGCACGGCTGGACAGCTATTCCTACTCCCCAAGCTCTTAGAAATAACCCCTGGATCCCTGCCCCTTTCCAACCCCCCGAATGACAGTTCTACCTGAACTCCTAGGAGAATTTAAGTTAGGGCTACAGAGTTAGGACTTGGCGCATCTAGGGGTTCCGATGATGTTCCTCCTTGCCCTTGTCACTCCCACGGGACACATCACCTCAGGAAAAAAGCAATGCTCCACCTGTTTCTAGTCTCATACAGCAAAACCCCTCTGGCTTTGTTCAGTTTAAGGAGAAACTCAATAACTCTCCCTAGATTAAAACCTAAACAAAAAATAGCACCAAGTAACCTCTCAATGCCACTTCAAACAAGTAGAACATAGCAAACACATGGGATTTATCAATTAATTAGACCTTAAGCTTAGCCAGCCTCGAGTGCCATCTCTCTCATTTAAAAGGCCCTAAAATATTGTCAAAACTACACATATAACCTTGAGAATTTTGCTCTCGCGGCAATTTACACAGTTCTATGGGTAGCACTCTTTAGTATGTGCATAACCACCACTAAAATGCTGCTCAATTTTCATGAAAGTATCTTGAAAGGAAGGATATGCCCCGTGGAGTGGAATGGTGGATAGGTTTTTTGTTTTGTGTTTTGTTTTGTTTTAAGCTAAAAGCTGGAGAATAAAATTATTGAAATCATCTTCTGTTCTACTTTAATTTTCACCAGCTTTTGCTAGTTTACTTTAACAAGTAATGTTTGATTGAATTCAGGCCTGCTTTTGTTTACAAAATGAATGAGAGCCAGCAAGTCGTGGCCTGGCTAATTTGCAATCCACTGCCTTGGTCTATTCCCCTTTAAACAAAAATCTAGAGTTTGTGATTTATTGTTGATTTGGTTAGTTCAAATGATTTTGATGGCTAAACCCTACCTTCCACTCTTTCCTTGAGATTTCACCAAAAGCAACCAGCCAATTTCTACTACAGAAAATAACATTTGTTCTCCACCCTCCCCAAAACAAAACAAAACACATCTTACCTCCCAAGATTTCAAATGCTAGCAAAAGGAATTGAGAATAAAAATACACAGATGGAAGGAAATGAAAAGAAGGTCCTGCAAATCCATAATTTTACAAATTGAACTGATTTACTCATAAAAATAACATCATATTAGCAAATTACAATAACTGTCCATAATAGGCCTCTGAGTCTCTAGAAGCCATCCTCATCTGACAATTGGGTAACCCAGATGTTCTCAAAGCCAGCAGAGCAACTGACTCTTCTTGGAGGCCTTATTCCTAAATCTCCTCCTTTAGAAATTCTGCTTATAAAAAGGTCCAGGGCAAAATTTGTATGTTCATAAAGTACCCTTAACTGGGTCTGGAGAGCTACCAAGTTTCAAAATATTAGTATGGTCTTTATTAATGTTTAATGTTGCTTTGCCCAGAAAGTCTCATCTCTTTCTCTGCTTGAATTCTCCACTCCAAATCCCAAGGTCTCTTCTTATCTCTAGGCTGTGCGCCTGTTATGTTATTCCTTGAACATGAGAGGAGAGGAGGTAAGTAGAGTAGTGGTCCTACTTGCCCTGTAACTCATGTACAGATCCACAGACTTATTACTACTGTTGGGGCTTGTTCCACAAAATCATTACCTAATGCTAAAATCACTCGGCTTTCACAAGGCCACAGTCCATCCATCATGTGCCATCTCTATTCAGCTTCTTATTCTCCCAATTGGAGGCGAAGTGCGTTCCCCGTCTCCTCCCCGCCCTGTGCAGATAATCTGTGATCTTTTCTCACCTCTCCCTTTCAGTTTGACT